TGGAGAACCACCTCTGGGGCAGCAGCAGGAATGCTGGCTCCTTGTCCCTTATGGTCGCACAGAAACGGGTGCGGAGTCAACGAATGTGCATATCCCGGTCCCGGGGGGGGCGAAAGAAGGCGAATTGGACGACGTGGAGGTGGTGGACCTCGCAGCTAGCCTGTCGGCCCTTTCCCCCCCCCCCCCCCCTCCTCCCCCCTCCCACAAAAGTGAGCCCACTGCTGTGACATCGGACAGTGGGTCGGTGGGCATGCCGAGACGTCGGCGGAAGCAGCTGACCTCGGGTCTGCCCATATCGAGCCCCGCGGAGGTGGGAAGTTCCTTACAGCAAGCAACAGTGGCGATCCAGTCCGATCGAGAAGAGGAGCGACGCGAGCTGCAGGCACGGGTGGACGCAAAGCTGAAGAGGCGGGATCGGTCCCACTCCCCGGCTGGTCGCAAGGTGCAGCCGCTTAAAGACGAAGACCGATGGGTGTCCCCGCAGCGAAGACGCATTGAAGAAGAGGAGTTGCAGAATAAGGTGGCCAAGGAGGGGCTGGAGGAAGGCATGGAGGACGAGCAACCCCGCCAGCCTGCCCCGGATTTGGATGAGCCCATGACAGGGGATGAAGGCGGGGACTCGACGGATGACAGGGGCGGAGCGATGGATGAGGACATGGATATCAACGAGGGGATGGAAGCAGATATGGATATTAATACAACGGTGAAGGGGTCGCTACAGGAAATATTGGCAGCCGGGGAGTGTTATGTCTGCCCGGTGATGCTGTGGTGGGCGGAGCAAGGCATTAAGGTGGTCACGAAAGGCAGTACGGAATTCTTCATTTATGCGGCGCGCTCCCTCCCCAAGAACCCGAATATTACTAGACAGGTCAGTCGTTGGGTGGGTCCTAACTACAGAGTGAAAGTGCTTCCCAAAGTCTCGGTGGGACGCTTTTTCAGACAACTGCGAGGGGGGACGGAGTACGGGCTTTTGGTCTTTTTTACGTCCATCACCCCCCGGCGAGCGGGCTCTCTGACCTTGGCTCACAAGGATGCYACTTGGATGAAGATGGATCAGGTCTTTGGCCCCCGTGCCAGCCCGACTGA